GACACAGTGACTCCAGGTGAACCAGTAAATGTCCCTGTTAACGTGTTGAACTTGAACTTGTACTCAGCGGAGTCGCTCTCTCTCAGGTCTCTGATTCTCAGAGTGCAGAAGTTGTTTCCACATTGATGCTGCACACGATCTGTTTCCAGATCCACATATTGATCATTTCTCTCTTTTGTGAACCAGATTATAGTATGGTCGTCATTTATTCTGGATGGGTATCTGTATGTGCAGCTTATGTCCACTGTTGATCGTTTTAAGGCACAGATCTCAGTAGAAGTGTAAGTCACTCCCCAGTCATTCTGACTCTGTACCACTGTAACACAGAGCAGAAAACAGTCAGATTTATAACAGCAGAGGATAGATTTTAATATTTTATAAAAATGAACGACTAAGCTGACTGCGAGTGACACACAAACACAGGTTGTGTGGTTAGATGCAAAATACAAGGCAAGTATTGTCTCACATATTACAGACACGTACATTCATGGTGCAGTGCATTAGCTAAACCGATCCACCAGATGGTTTTATGTTAGTGGAAGACTGGAGTAAACTCACAGACTGAAGGAGAGCGGGAGTTCTTATACACATTTACAGCACAGGAAAAGCTGTCTGCAGGATCAAAGGAGCCTGAGTAAGTAGATGTTCCCTGCCTGTACTGTCCATTTTTATACCAGACATAGGACAGATGATCAGGTAGATGACAACTGCTGTGACACTCCAGCTCTGCCCAGTTAGAAGTCTTGTAGATGTCTAATCTGGTCACCTGCACCTGGAGATCTGAATACGTGAATAAGAAGGCTTCATTTTAGACTGAACTGCCAACATACACACACACAACTAACGTTCATAAGATGTTTAATACTGGGAACTAAATTGTTACCTGTGACAGACAGAGTGACTCCAGGTAAACCAGTATATTTCCCACGTTCTTGGTTTGTTATGAACCTGAACTTGTACTCAGCTGAGTCGCTCTCTCTCAGGTCTGTGATTCTCAGAGTGCAGCGGTTCTTATCACAGCTATACGTCACTCGACCTGAATACTCCGGGTCCGATCTCAGATCCACATAAACATTATTACTCTCTTTCGTAAACCAGAATGTTTCCTCAGCTTTGGTATCATGATTATTTAAGCTGGAGGGATATATGTAGGTGCAGCCTAATTCCACTGTTGATCCTTTTACGGCACAGATCGGAGTAGAAGTGTAAATCACTCTCCAGCCATTCTGACTCTGTACAACTGAAAAACAGGTGACTTCAGAATTCAAAATCCGATCCATAACAACATCAGAGAACAGACTTCATTTTACTTATTTATTTTTGTAGGACTTAATTGAACTACTGTACATTTACAAAACTACTTCCAGAGGAGTCAAGCTATTTGCCACAGAGTGTGAGACTGGAAATGAAAAACAATAAAGTATTTTAGGTATTCAGGTATTTCTGTTTTTAATGAGAGGCTGTCATAGGAATATTTATGACTCTTGGGTGCTTCAGCTTAGCCCATTTATTTCAGACATAAAAAAGTCTATGTAATAGGAGTGGAGCAGGAAAGTACCACTTTTTAATACTTTTTAGAAGGGCTGACACCTGTTGTGCCAAATTCTGCCCGCCTGCTGAGAATTGTATGCACTTCTCGAGTGATAACGGTCATTTATGCTGAGAAAAGAAGTGGATGCAAATCTCAGCAGGTAGCCTACAAAATTTGTTCTGCCGGATTATGCATCCACGTCTTTAGGTTCTTTTCAGACACTTTGCTGTGCTCATTGATTATCAGGTTATCACCACATATATTTACTGAATCTCAAGGAATGGTACTTCTGCTAAGTTTATTAAACTATTAAAGACTCTAAACATTCATAAAATATATACTTTGAATCATTCATCACCATTGATGAACCCTACAAAGAATATTATAGTATTTGGAGGTGCATGCAGTTCTCGGCAGGCAGGCAAAACTCGGCATAAAACCCCCAATAGTGGAAGATCTGATACTTCGATGTGCGGAGCCTGATTCGACCATCAATCTCTCAGTCGAGGCTTCTCAGCAAAACAAGGATCATGCCATTTTGACGATATGGGGGTGCTCGACGAGTTGTCTGCACCTCGTGGGACTTTCGGATAATTTATCACCGTTGAAGAACCACACAAAGAATACTTAATCGTTTTTTAAACAGCCGGCTACTTGAAATAGACCCGTGAGGAATCGTGACAAAACTCTGCACAAGACCGGTGAATGGCAGGAGAGAGAGAGAATGTTCAACTTTAAGCATCAGTTTAGCTGGAAATTTACAGTGTAGGTTGAATGAATAGAGACTGCAGCTCTGCAGCTTCTCAAGATTAAAGTGGAGCTAACGTATATTCTCCCCCGCTCGGCTCGCAATCACCATGCACAATAACATATGATTCGACTATCAATCGACTATAGGCAGGACAGCCCTACTTTTAGTAAAAGTGCTTACTGAAACCTTGTATTTAAGTTTTTTGGAGATCTGACATTAAAACCCTAAAGTTGCTTTGCCATTTTGTCCATTCAGCTGGTGCTCATCCAAGATCAATTCATCAAATCCATGTAAATTAAAAACAGATTAACTTTATGGTAGACTGCTGACTGAGGGCATTCCCCATAACATTAGATCCTGGACACTAATTTGCCCAAATCCATATTTAAAATTTCTAGGTGGTCCAGTGTCCCTGCACTACTTTGAGCTCTGAACTAAAGAAGTCAATTTCTACCAGGAAGAGAGAAAAATTATAGAAAGAACAAAAATCGAAATCATAAGATACTAAGTACAATGTTTTACTTCCTAAGTAGAAATTGTGAGCTGGTGCTCGCTCATTATTTTGACTTCATATTCAAGAGAAAGAAATGCATTGACACTGACTCAAGCATTCTGCTTGGCAATAAAACAGGTAGTTTTCCTGTAAATCTAAGTGAAAAAGTGATTTTACACAATTAAAAAGGTTAGCCATCAACTTTATGACATAAAAGTAGAAATATGTGCGAGAAGACTTCACTGTTTGAGACTCAACACGAAGAGAAGCAGAATAATTGAGTGATTAGCATCAGTCTTATCAGACCCCCTCCTCCTACCAAAATATCACTGCATTGTGCTAAAAGTGCCCACAGGTTGAGACAAGTAGTCGTCCTTCTATGGGGATGAATAATTCAAAATCACATTGCATCCAAGAACGTATTTCCCTCCTCTGCAACCCTTACTGTACACAGCATTCAAATTTATGGTATCGAGGATACAGATTATAGACTATATTTGAAATATACGAGAAAATCCACAAACCACTGTGTGTTAACAATCCAGACACAAGCATTTATACACCAAAGTAGAAGCACTGAGTCCAAAAGTTAAGGTTTGGTGTTGCAGTCAGAGTTTTAAGGTATTTTAATGTACCACACTTCATGACTGTACAGGTCAAATCTAGGAACATGGACGTCTGACAATAAATGATTTAATTAAATGTTTCTTCTTAAACTAACTTCAGGATGCTTTGACTAAATGTAAAAACCCTACAACATAAATGTAGATATACAGCACCTGGTACAGTCAGGAGAAGGACGACAAATCCACTTGCTGCTGCTGTTAAACTCATAACTGCTCCTCTCATCCCTCTGTGCGACTTCAGAGACATTAAAAATGTCTGCAGATAATAATGTACACCAAAGTAAATCAGTCAAATCAAAAACACTTCTACCTAACATGAAATTAAGTTATCTTCACAAGACAACATTCCTTTGTGGTCTGAAAGCAGGAAACAGAAGTCGAAGCTGTTAAAATCCACCTAACTTCTTTCCTCTTTACATTATTTACATGAACAATCAGAACACCCCACAAACACAAGAAAGAAATCTTAGCGTAAGTGTCATCACAGTTTGTGTTCTGTCAGTGGTGCTAGACTAAACAGGAACAGGAGAAAACCGACAGTTTGATGCATCGTTTGGATGCACACCATAGATTCAAATTGATGTGCTGCGTCAGAGTGGAAAAAGTCACATGATGGAGTCTTATTGATAGTATAAGACCTGGAACACCAGACCAGAATACTGGTGATAAAAAGTGATGTAAAAAGAACAAATGGTACAAAAAGTGGCAGAAATCTCATTTAGAGAGGAAAGAAATGCAAACTCTGTAGTTTCATCTTCAGCTTTATTGATCTCTGGGGGGGAAGTGACATGTTACAGCATCACAAGAGACTGCTGGCTAAGAGGTAACGAACATACCTTTTGACTGAAATAATTACAAATAGATGTAAAGACTCCATATTTGTATAGCACCTTTCTAGTCTTTTTGACCACTCAAAGTGCTTTTACACAACATCTGCATCCATCATTGACTCACATTTATAGACTGAGCCTAAGTGCTCAAACAGAAACTAACATTCAGAGCCTGGAGGAGCCAGGGATTTAACAGGCAACCCACTCCAACTCCTGAGCCACAGCTGCCTTAGAAAAGAAGGAAATTAGAAGGAAGCCAACCAAAAAACTGCATAGACTATATATACATTAGCTGAGATAAGAGAATTGTGAAGGTATTTATGCAAAACTCCCTCACTTACTTACAGACACTGTGGAGCAGCCTCAGCCTTACTTTTACTCTGTTATTAATGCACCCGTTTACTTTTATTTTGACTTACTGATGTTGGATATCACTGTAACTACTACTCCTGAACTAAGAGTAGAGTCATACTCACAAAACATGTAGCTCCTAACTAGCTGAGTTTTATGAAACTGCATCAAAATATGGGGTGACCTAACTGGTCCTAACTGTAAGACTCAATTTTTGAGTAACAAACACAAAAAGTTTAGCTCTGAAAGTAGCTCCTAGGTCTGAGAGGCTTAACTTCCTCTGGTGCACTAACAGTTACTTCAGGTACATTTTGGTGTCTCCAGGAAGAGGTTTGGCAGGATGGAGAGTTGTTAGAGAGCAGAGATAAAAGGTCACTGAATACTGAACTTTCAAAAGACTGTAAAAAACATGTTACACAAATAATATTCAAGTTAATGCTTTAAGTCATAAAATACTTTACACATTCTTTAAAGCTGCACATGCAGAGTAAAAATCTAAGCTGAACACTGGTTACATTTACTCATTTAGCTGACGCTTTTATCCAAAGCAACTTACAATTGCTAAATATGTCAGAGGTCACACGCCTCTGGAGCAACTAGGGGTTAAGTGTCTTGCTCAGGGACACATTGGTGGATGTGTCGCAGTGGGAATCTGAAGGCATGTGTCTTATCCACTGCTCCATCACCACCCCTACTGCTATACTGGTGGATGTTATGTTGAAAAGTTTCTCTAAGGTATATAATTAATTAGTCCATTCTTTGAGGCCCATCCTGAGAAATATATTGTAAAAATCAATCATTACCTGCTTAAATACAAAGTTTATAAAGAAACATAGAAATATCAGAAATGTAATATCTGTTGTGTTCAATAGGTTTTGTTGACGGTGCTGTACAATGCAGCTGAATCCTCTCCAGTTTCCTGACCTCTGGATCTGAGAAAAAAGAAGAAGACATTGTATGAAATAATATAAATAACATCATATCCGAACAGCGATACAACAAATGTAAAACCCAGAGCAGGCAAAATGCAAAAGCAACATATTTATCTCACAGTTATGTCATTTTAATCTTGTAGTGAGGATAATGTGAGAAGAGCTGCTCACCTCGGGGCAGTATTACTCTTAAATGTGACAACAGCGTACTCCATGAAATCTTGTTGCTCCGTGTGTCTGAGGGAGCGAGCTGGTCTGATGTTGGAGTAGAGAGGATCTGCCTGGTTGTTGGTGAAGTGAATGCTGGCATACTGAAGGTTATCCTGCTCCTCTGGCTGTTCAGGTAGAAACTGCACAGACATATTTTACATGAGTGGGTTTTTCATCTGAATAGTGAATTCTTACAGATGATTGCAACCAGGACAGAAAAGACTGAAGCAACTACAGCTGTGGTAATGATAGAACAAATATCCCTGCTTCACCGTGCATTACAGAAAAGAGCTAAGTAAAGGAATTTACAAGGAAAGGACAAAAAGTAGGAAAGCTTCTGGATCTACTAGGAATTTAGTCAAATCCATTAGAAATTCATTTCTGTGAAGAAGGATGTCAAAAGAGAAACATGAAGTCCTTCTCAGTCAGATTCATTTTCCAGCAGCACTTGAAGAGTGAGTGACTTTTGTTCTTGAATAAGATCCGTGACTATTCTCACCTGTTCCCTGTTGTCTGGTCTCTCTTCAGGCTCAGATGATTCCTTGGAAGCCCTCTTTTTCCTGGTTAGGAGAATAAATAAGAAAATAAATGACTGAACGTTTTAGGTTGGACAAACTGACCTTCAGTGATTTAACATTCAATGATTCAGTGAAACAGAGCTGCTCACCTGATCCACAGGAAGAGACAGAGGGAAATGATAACCAGGAGAACAACAGTGATTGTTGTAGCAACTGTTAATTTCCTGCTCCTAAAAATGGGGAACAGAAGAAAACACAGACAGTAAATTAGAGTGTTACAGCATGTTTGGACCCATTGCTCCCATAGAGTAACACTGCTTTCCAAACACCAATCAGAGTAAACCAAATTATTACCAATGTAAAGAAACTGATTTGGAGCGTTACAAAGAAGAAACTAAAAGCCAAAGTAGATCAGAATGTTCTCTCTAAAAAGAGATTATTATCTCTCTACTGTCAGAGATAGAAAGCAGAGACAGATCCAACCAAGTACAGTGCATTTGTGTTTACTGTATTATAGTTTTGCAAGAATTGTTTGCTTTTGCAAGGGATGTATAATGTTTTGTTTTATTGGTGTAAGGTTTTGTGATTAGTGTGTAGAGTTTTGAAAAAATAGCCACTAGTTTCAAAAATTGTGCCTAAGGAATTAGAAAACACTGTACTGTCCCCAGAGTGTGTGCAGCTCAATGCAAAAAACTTACCTGCCACAACAGTCAGATGTAAGGTGGAGTTATGACGTCCTCTTCTGTTCTGGGCTTCACAGTAATAATTCCCACTGTGTTCAGCTCTGAAGTCAGTGATGGTGAAGTTCTGTCCTGATGCTTTTGGTGAGTCTTCATTCTCCTTGTACCAGGTGTGTTTAGCTGCTGGGTTAGCATCACTGCTGCAGGTCAGAGTCACTGAACTGCCCTCCACTATCTCAGCAGAGGGACTCACTGACACAGAGGGAAGCTTTGGAGCATCTGGAAAAAATAAATAAACAAAATGAGGATAGATTTCTTTGGTGCTACATGTTGCATTGAAATGAGTAATAGTTGTGTTTGTACGCTGTTTTTATTTTCTATTTTACCCTTTAAAAAAAGCATATTTAAATGTTTTTGTTCAATTTCCCTTTGTTGCTTTTATGTTTTATGTAAAGCCCTTTGAATTGCCTTGTTGTTGAAATGTGCTTACAAAAAAACTGGCCTTGCTTTATGTGTGTGGAAGCATGGCTGACGAACGGGGAAGTGTACGGGGGAGCAGCGCTGCATTTTTGGACAAATAAACACCTGTAGTCGGACTGGATTATGCTCTGACAACAACGCTGTTTACTTGCGGGAGAAGCTCAGACTTAACTGCTTTTATTAAATTTGCTTTTTGACTTTAGTTTTTGGGAATACAGCGTTGATTCATCTTCACTGGAGTTTTTCGGCAGCTAGTGTCTAGCATCTGGTTCCACTGTTGTTAGCGTCGACTGGCTCCCAGAGCTCTGTTGGACTACTACTTCATATTTATATAAAAACTGGACAAAACTGAACATTGTTTGGAGAAAAGAAAGCGAGGAAGTTGAACTACCTGGTGAGTTCAGAAAATGTGTGTCTGTAACTTTATTCCAGGTATCGTTGTACTTTATTGTGAACAAGTTAGCATAGCAAAGCCCAGCTCGAACCGAACTCCATTCAGAAAACCAACATTTTAAAAGTTGTTGTCCTGCTGACAGACCTGGCAAAACATGAATTCATATGTTTAACAAATCGGCATCATATTGTAGTTATTTCGGCATCAGTTTGATCCGTTTATTGCTATGAAATCACAGCAAAATTTTTACTTTCTGTTCATTTAACTGTAGAATTTGCGGGTTGTGTTTATTCGTTTACCGCGTTGTGTGCGAACCGTGCAAACACTCAGCAATGTTACACTCTAAAAAATGATTCACAGGCTTAGTAAATATCATAGTAATAAATAGCTATACTAACTTAATAAAATCTCTGAATATTGCTTTAGTGATTGTTTGAGTTGTACATACCAATAAATTTATATAATATATATATATATATAATTTTTTGTTCAATTTACAATTATCATTAAGTTTATTTCACAAAATGAAATTAGTATTTTAATATAATATTGCTATCGATATTTTGCATTTAACACTACATTCATTGTTTGCTGCCATTACAGATCCTGGTGATGGCCTGCCTTGTTTGATGTCTTGCAAGTGAGTAAAAATAATTTTTGTAGCGGTTAACACAGAAGTTACAGACAGAAAACCTGCATGTGTTTTTGCAGACTTGAAATGATGATCGATTATGTTGCCACTAATTTCTTTTTTCTCATCTTTCTCATTCAGGTCAATGTGTGTGAGTTCCAGAGGATCATCACACTGAATCTTGAGCCAAAATTCACATCAATGTTGGACTTGTATTCCACCAAACAGCTGTCCCTGTCCAAGGCGAAGAAGGGTGCTGCAGGCGAGTGACATCGGGCAGATGTGAGTATGACTGACTACTTCAGGTTATACAATTGTATTCCTTCTGGAGTGGAGTGAGCCACTCTTATCTGTCTCACGTAATACTGTCAGGATAAAATGAACGATTATTTTAAATAAATCTTACCGACCCTAGCTTTAACATTACTTGCTTTTCTGTCTTCATTCTGGTCATGGTCATGCATCTGCCTGTTCATCTGTGCCATGAGTTTTCCATGTTTTTTTTTTTTTCTTGCATCTACTTTGCATCCCTCAACAAATACCAGTTCTATGCTGCTGATGTTTCATTTATTCAATGTTAACTAAATTTAAACCATTTTGACAATAAAGTGGGTGCAGTAAAGCAAAAGTAGTAGTAAAAGTATTAATAGTTTAAAGACTTTCTGTTCTGCAGAGTGGAATCTTCATTCAACAAAACAAGAGGTCATCATCCGATGTCTCCTTGACCACCTGGGAGAAGATACAAGTGCCTTGATGAAGGACTCTGAGGTTAGTAAAATAGTTTTCAGGACTTTTAACTGTCGGTTTTTTTAGTTTTACTTTAATGTATTCATTGATGACTGAGACGAGATCACAAACATGCAAAGGGGAGGCGAGTTAGCAGGGAGGGATTACTTTTTGTGTGTCACTTTTTTTGTAACAAGCAGTTTGAAAGTTATGGAATCAGATCAGGCTAAAAATTTGGATTCAACTACATATTTTGTGCTAAAAAAAAAAGGATTACAAAAAGCCTAGGATACCACTAGAGCTGAACTAGTGATTTCCTAATCGCAAAGGCTGAGATTACTCTCTGGTCATATGACACGCGAGAGTAAAGCAGTCTGCAGACGAAGTTGATGCTTTGTCTGCACGTTACGCCATACCTTGTCTTCTTGTTGTACAACGGCCTTAAGCTTGAAAGAAACTGACACTACAGAAACTTTTGTGTCACACATGGAATGAAAGTAGCACCTTGTAACTTGGTGGTGGTGGTGGGTGAAAGTCACGTGTAGAAAGGTAAGCGTATTGTGGCGATCGGCGCCTGCGTCACACACACAGCTACCAGTCAGCTCAGGAAATATCTGAAAATCATTAAGCCCTACATACCACACACGCTAGGGTTGTGTCCTCTTACATTTAATCTTTTATGTATGATCTTTTAATATTATCATTCTTATTACTATTATTGTTATAGATATGTATTGTGTTTTTATCCTTAACCTTTCCTCTCCTATACTCCTTATGTTGGTCTGTCCACATTTACTAGGGTTTGGGTCAGAGCTGTGAGATTGTTTTGGTGTTTTCTCTCTCTTGTTGTTCCTCTCCTCTCATGGA